TTTGCATTTCCCTGATGACTAATGAAGTCCTTTCATGTGCTTATTTAGAATGTTTTTTAAGGTAGTTCCTCTCCCCTTGCTGCCATGTAGCTTTCAATCTCCATGACTTGAAGGACTGTTGAATAAACGAGAAAGGGAAACACTGATGGCAAAATACACTAGAAATATAAAGAGCTCTGCAAAGACAAAAGCAAGCCTGAGCCCAGCCCTGGAACCCTCCCTTAACCTTGGGGGCTGAGGACGTGCTTGTCTTCCCAGGAAGCCAAGATCATGGCTGACTTGAGGTCAGAACGTTTTAACGATAAATTTGTCCCTGATTGAATGATCGTTTTCACTACTACCATTTATAAACTACCTACTATGCTCCAGGGACCTTATATACACACAATATGTCTAATTTTTACAGTAGCCCAGCAAGGTTGTTGTATGATCTCCATCTGGTGGACTCTGAAAATCAGAGACGTGAATTCTTTTGCACACCACACAGCGACATCTCCAGGGATCCAGATTCAAAACACAACTGTCTGGCTCCAAAATCTCATTCACCAAGTTGTCTCCTCCTCTCCCCCCAAAAAATACACACACACACACACACACACACATACGTAATGGAACATTATTCAGCCATAAAAAGAAATGAAGTGCTGATACATGCTACAACGTGGATGAACCTCAGAAACATCATGCTAAGTGAAAGAAGCCAGACATAAAAGGTCACATATTGTATGATTCCATTCATACGAAATATCCAGAATGCGAAAATATATATCTATAGACAGACAGCAGATGGGTGGTTGCCGGGGGCTGGCGGGAAAGGGGAATGTGGAGAAACTGCTTAATGGGTATGAGGTTTTCTTTTGAGGTGAGAAAAATGGTTTGGAACTAGATGGAGGTGGTGGTTGCACACCATTGTAAATGTAATAAATGCCATTGAACCCTACACTTTAAAATGGGTAATTTTATGTTAAGTGAATTTGACATCAATAAGATTAAAAAAAAAAACCTCCACCCCCTAGAGTCTCTTCTTCATTGTCGAGCATAATTTTACCATTACTGATTTACTCCTTTGAGTAGTGAAGCCTCCAGTACCTGGAGCGGATCTGTTCTCCACCAGAGAACCTCTCCTTGAGAATTTCAGGGCAGAAAGGGAGGAAACAGCAGCATGATGCTGAGCGTGAGCACTGGAGTCGGGCTGCCTGAGTTTACTTCCAGGCACCTCCATCTCCTCGTCTGTAAAACAGCAATGATAATGCTACCAACCTCATGGGGTTGCCGTAAGGACGGAACAAAATCATGCATGTGAAGTGTCTGGGCACATGGAATGGACTCACCAGGCTGTATTGTTAGGGCAGGCCACCTTCTCCCACCATCATCCACGCCACAAATATTTATTGATCACCTACTCTGTGTGCCAGGCACTCTCCTAGGCCCTAGGGATTCATCTATATGCAAGTACAGCAATAACATTCCTTTCTTCTTGGAGCTCACCTTCCAACTGGGGTAAAAGATAATAGACAAAGTAAGTAAAATATGTAGTATGTTAGATGGTGGTATATGCTAGGGAGAAAAAATAAATGAGGGATGAGAAATAGGAAGTTTCGGGGAAAGGTTACAATTTTTAAAAAATTTTATTGAGGTCATATTGGCCTCATACATATTGTGTACATTTCAGGTGTACATTTTTATATTTCAGTTTCTACATAGACTGCAGCATGTCAAAAGGTTACAGCTTTAAAATCTTTTATTTTTTTTAATTTTTTTTTTTTGTGAGGAAGATCAGCCCTGAGCTAACATCCATGCTAATCCTCCTCTTTTTGCTGAGGAAGACCAGCTCTAAGCTAACATCTATTGCCAAGCCTCCTCCTTTTTTTTTTCCCCAAAGCCCCAGTAGATAGTTGTATGTCATAGTTGCACATCCTTCTAGTTGCTGTATGTGGGACGTGGCCTCAGCATGGCTGGAGAAGTGGTGTGTTGGTGCACGCCTGGGATCCGAACCCGGGCTGCCAGTAGCAGAGCGCGCGCACTTAACCGCTAAGCCACGGGGCCGGCCCGAAAGGTTACAATTTTAGATTGGGCGGCCAGAGAAGGCTTCCCTGAGTGATGACCTGAGGGAAGTGAGGTGTGTTCATTTCCTTCCGCTGCTGTAACAAGTTACCACAAACTTAGTGGCTTAAAACACAAATGTAGTATTTTAGAGTTCTTGAGGTCAGGAGTCCAAAATGCGACTCACTGGGCTAAGATCAAGGTGTTGGCAGAGCTGTGTTCCTTCTGGAGGCTCTAGGGGAGAATCCATCCCATCTTTTCCAGCTCGTAGAGGCTGCCCACATTCCTTGGCTCATGGCCCCACATTACTCCAATACTCTGCTTCTGTCATCACATCTCCTTCTCTTTGACTTTCCTGCCCCCTCTTTTCCTTATAAAGACCTTTGTGATTGCATTGGGCCCACCTGGATAATCCAGAATAATCTCCCCATCTCAAGATCCTTGATTTAATCACATCTACAAAGGCCCTTTCGCCATGTAAGGTAAAATAGTCACAGGTTCTGGGGATTAGGACATGGACATCTTTGTGGGGCCATTATTCTGTCTACCACATGAAGCATAGTATCTAGAAAAAATGGGAACAGCAAGTTCAAAGGCCCTGAGGCAGGGGTTGCCTGGCACGTTTGAGGAAAATGGAGGCCAGTGAGGATGCAGTAGAGTGGCCAGGGGGGGTGATCTCTCACGGGGTCGGAGAGGTGAAGAAGGTGGGGTGGCTCTTGCAGACCTTGTGGGTCCCAATGAGGACTTGGCCTTCACCTGAGTGAGATGAGAGCAGGTGCAAGATGTGATCTTGCAAGTTTTAACAGGATCCCTCTGGCTGCTATATCGAGGACAGACTATCCATGAGGAGGTTGCTGCCATCTCTAGGTGAGATGATGGGGGCTGGACCATGGTAGTAGAGGGAAGTGATGAGATGGGTCTCATTCTGGATCTTGAAGGTTGAATCACAAGGAACCACTTAAAGGTCAGAAATGGAGAGTCACACAAAGAGGGGGGAATCAAGGATGACTCCAAGGTTTTTGGCCTGAACTGGAAGAAATAAGACACTCTTTAGGGTGGGGAATACCACAAAAAGATCAGACTTGGGGCTGCTGGTGAGATCAGGACTTTGCTTTGAGATGCCTGTTTTTATCCAAATGGAGACACTGAGCAGGAAGTCAGATATATGAGTCTGGAGTTTAGGAGAGTGGTCTGGAGGGATTCGTTTGAAACAGCAGCACATAGGTGGGATTTAAAGCCATGAGCCTGTGCGTGCAGAGATGAAAGGACCGAGGACTGAGACCTGAGCCCCTCTGATGATGAGGAACAGTGATGGAGGAGGAAAACCAGGCGGGGGTGGGGTCCTGGAAGCCAAGAGCGCCAGGTGCTGCAGACCTCATCCAGAGTAAGTGCGCAAGGAGGGGTTGAGGGAGCACAGGATGCCCACTCTTGCTTTCCAGGGGCTGTTCTCTGGCAAACAGTCTCCATGGGAGGCAATTTAAGGAGTCAAACCTAGTGAGGCAGCCCTGCTCCTGAGCCAGAAGCTCTCCCTCCGGGAAGCTGGAATGGATCTGCTCTGGAGGTCTGGCCCCTATGCTCCCAGAATCATTTCCCTCTGCTCTCAACTCCAGCTGGGCCTCTAAGATTCAGCTCAGTTACCTCCTCTCTGCCAGGTGCTGTGCTGACCCCCCTCTACCCAGCTCCCACAGCGTCTGCTGCTCCCGTTGGGAGAACTCCCCACACCAAGCCTGTTTACACGTCTCAGTCTCCCACTAGGCTGGGCGCGCTCTGGGTTTCTGGGAAGCTTCCTTATTTCTGCATCCCCAATGCCCAGAATGGCGCAAGGCATCTAAGACTCGCAGTAAATGTTTATGAAGATAGACTCAGTAGAAGTCCCTTCTCCAGCTAGTGTCCGGCCCCGCCCGGCCCTTCATTATGCAGAAGCGCCAGTCCCTAGACTCCTCCAGAAACCAAAGGTGCTGCGAGATCCTGCCCCGCCCTCTGCAGCATGGCAGGGACCCTCACAGCACCTCACCTATTGACACTGGCTGACCATTTGCTAAATACCAAGGAAAGGGCCGTGGACTTGGGTCCAAGTACGAGTTCTGGCATTCTCAACTAGTCAGGACATCAGTCTCCCATCTCTAAAATGGAGATGATACACGCTATCCTTGAAGTCACTCCTCATCAGTTGTGACAACATTTGGGAAAGCCTAAGTGTTTGGCAAACTGTAAGCCAGCCGGGCAAATCGGAGGTAGGTCGAGGCCTTTCCTTGGCAGCTGATTCTGGGCACGTGACTGGACCTGTGTGTCCCACCCCATGCCACATGAGGCCTTCTACTTGGTTTTCTCAAGCCACTCTGAGGACAAGCAGCATCTTCCTCAGGCAACAGGAACTGAGGAACGAGTGGGGTCTGGCCCCAGTGGAAACACGCATGGACGTTCGCAAGTGTTTCCAGTGACTAAGGGCCACACGAAGCAGCTGGCCAGACCCTTCATGACACTTGTCCCAGAATGGCTCAGCCTGCAGAGCTGCCCCCACTCTGGCCATCCTCGGCCCCACTGTCCCACTTCTCTACCCCCAGGACAGGGACCCAGCCTCCCCCTTTCCCTCAGCAGCAGGCAACACACAGGAGGTTCAGCTAGCAGGGCAGTTTATTGATGTTTACTTCCCCAAATAATTTTTCCTCACTGGCCAGGGGCTGAAAAAACTGGGGGCGTGTGTGTGTGTGTGCGCACGCGCGTGTGCGTGCAGGGAGGGTGTACAGGTGGAAGCCAAAAGGCACATCTTGAATGTGCTGTGATGGGTTGAAAAGAGGTTGGTCTGAGATTGACAAGCCCCCATTTCAGAGGCTCAGAAAGTTTGGGCCCAAAAACATGCCCTCATTCCGCCAAATCCCTTCCATCTGCCGGAGGAGAACCAGGCATTACCTGGGTCTTCTGCCGGGTCTCACACCAGGCATCTTTCATACCTGGCTGTCCCACTAGTGGGACCACTAACATTGCAGTGGTCATGCGTCTTGACCTAAACAAATGGGGAGGCCTGGCCTGGCTCCACGTGCACAAGCAGAGACAAAGGTGACTGATGAGCAGATGTGCGGTGCACAGATAATGGGAGATGGCAGTGCTTGTCAGTATCAGATGATGACGCTAAAATATAGTGTAAACCCACAAGGTGGGTGACTAAAGGCTGGACACAGTGATTAAGTAAGAAAACGTAACTCTGTGAGCTGACCCGACTTCTGAACAGACAGACTTCCAAGACAGTCTCTGCTCACAGGGTGTTTCCATCCCCTTGGCCCTAAACCGTCACGGAAACAGAAGGAAGAGGAAGTGGTGGTCTGCCCAGATGGGGCGGGGGGCTGTCATGATTGTCCAGACCTCTGTGGCCAGAGGGCATCCCAGCCAGACCCTGAGCCTGGGCGGGAGCGAGGGAAGGGGACACTGCGCCCCCGGAGGGCTGTCCCCAGGCCCTCGCCCCGCCCGCAAGGCTCTGCAGGCTGCCTCCTCTACCGCTTCTTCTTGGCCTCCTTCTTGAGCCTCTTGTTGGCGGAAGGAGCAGTAGCCTTGGACTTCCTCGTCGTCTCCGCGCTCCTGGACTCAGATGCTGCTGCCTCCTGTGTGGTGAGTGAAAGAAGAGTCCTGCTTAGACGAATCACACCTGACACCAGCAAAACGAGATCATGTCTGCAGGGACTTTGCAAACTGAAGCATGCCACAGAAACACGGGACAGAAACCATCATCACTGGGACCCAGAATCCTCATGTATGCAGGCTGCCCCTGGGAGCAGGGCAGTTCTCAGTGAAGAACAAGGAAGGAGGCCCCAAGGAGAGGGGGTAGCCTGTAGAGTCTCACAGGCCTGGGTGGAATCCAGGCTCCTCTAAGTGACCTTGTGGGCTACTCACTTCCCCTTTCTGCGTCTTGGTCTACCCACCTGTGAAGTGGAAAGAGTGATACACGTCTTGGAGGGCTGATGTAAGGAGGCAAAAATGCATGGAAAGCACCCAGGAAATGTCGCTGCACCCAGCGGCTGGCTGCTCACCCTGTGCAGGGACTGGGCAGAACTAGGGTGAGGAGCTGGCTGTGGGGCAGACCTACTGTGGCTTGCACTCCTTCTGGCCCTGCTGTCCTCCTCCTCCATTCAACCCACAGAATGCCCGGGCTGGGAGGGGTGGGGCATGCCAGCCGGCAGGTGGGCAGCCACCACACTGTGTTCTGTGGGGCCTGGCAGAGGGCAGCCTTGGGCAGAACTCCAGACCCTCCCTATAGCTGGGGCGGCTCCAGGCTTTATCTGTCGTGTACACTGTGATTTGTTCCCTGTAAGATTTGGTTTAAATGAAGGTCCTGCTGCTAAAAAAAGGTTCAAAACTGCAGGTCCAGCTCTGGCCTTCACTGTGCTGATAAAGAGACTGGACCCTGGGGAGGGGACTTGGCCTGCCCCAGCCACCAAGGCTCAGGTCAGAGAAGAATCAGGAGGGGACTCGGTCCTGTCAAGTGTCCCCTCCCTCCGGGGTGATCAATCACACTGTGCCACGGCCAGGCAGGACATTAGCGAGGCCTGTCGAGCCCAGAGAACACTGACCACAGCCCCCGGGCCTCGTCCGGCCCACAGGCAGACTTCACTTGGCCTGCAGTGTTTATTTTTAAGAATTTCAGCCAACTGGGAGATTTCCCACTCAATCTGGATTCCTTGAAAACTTTAAACATCTGGTGACACCAGCCCCAAACGCCCCCATGGAAGAAGTGGGCTGAGCAGTGGCCGCCCCCTTATTCAGATGCCCACGCCCCTCATGGCCCTGCCACCCCAGCACTAGAGTAAGAAAATGTTTCTCGGTATCTGTGTTCTTTTATTAAAAATGGAAAAACAAAAAGCAGACTAAGAATACTAGTGGGGAGCATACTTTTTCTGGAAGAGAAAACTATTTCCTCGTGTTTAATTGGCCAACTCCCAGCTTCCAGCTTGCTTTACTCTCTACCCCTCCCTGCTCCTGTCGGCCCCTGGCGCAAGCCTCAAGCCTCTGTCAGACAGAAGAGGCAAGACCGCGGTTGGGGAGGGGCGGTCTCCACCTAAGGCCCAGTCCAGAGGTCTGTCAGTTCTCTCTCATTGGCCATCACTGTCTCCTCTCCATCCTGCCAGCCTGTCAGCCGGGAGACCACATGTAAAGGCCCAGTCCAGTCCCAAGCACCCACGGATGATCTTCCCAAGATAAGGAGGGCGTCCCCACCATCGGCCAGGTCTCTGATTGCAGTTCTGGACTCCCCCCAGCCTGTCCCCTTGTACTGATACTGTTTATGTAACTTAGCAAAAAAGAAAAAAAGTCCACTAGAAAAACAAACAAAACAATACCTCAGAGGGGCCAGTGTGTCAAGTGCATAGGCTGACGGCTGCAGAGCCCAGCAGGAAGGCTACTGTTTAAGGCAAACCCACAGGGCACATTGCCTTCAGAGACCCAGGAAGCTGGAAACCGGCCCCAACGCAGTACCTGTGAGGCCAGTGGAAACCAGTCGGCCCCGAGGACCCTGGGCAAACAGGGCCGGATTAGACGAATGGTTTACGCACAGGGAACTTGCTGAGGCCTGCCGGGACCTCCAGGTCGGAGTTCCCTCTGAGCTCAAAGCTGGGTGCCTTCTCCGGTTTCAGTGGGGGCCGGTTCAGAATCCACAGGGAGAGTGATGCCCAGCTGCCATCCCGAGGGCCTCCCTCTCTCTACAAACCCTCTCTCAGGCGCCTCATCCTTTCTGGCACCTCCCAGACCTCTCTCCTAATCCAGCTGTCTGTCAAATGACTGGGACTGGCACCTCCCAGGCACTTGTAACTCAGTCGAGCAGACCAAACACGGCCCCTTCTCCAGCAGGCCCGGCCCTCCTCCCCAGCCCCAGGCAGAGCAACCAGAGTCCCAGTGACCCCACTCTCTCCCTCCTCCCCACTGTCCAGTCAGTCACCAGGTCCTGTTGATTCAACTTCCTCTACCTCTTGACTCGGCCATTCTTGCTAGCACCCAAGTCCCTACTTCAGTCCCCCCACTGCCAACTGACCTCCCTGCTCTCTCTATGCCATTCCTCACGCACTTGCCAAAGAATTTTTCTAAAATGCAAATCCGCCCACCTTAAACCTTCCAGTGGCTTTCCATCACCACAGCCTCATGTCCCACACCTAGGATGGCATCTAAGGAGGCCACCTCTCCAGCCTCCTCCAGGCTCTTTCCCACCCCCTACAATGGGTCAGGCCCCACGGCTTCCCCTGGTCACCCCTAACAAGAGGAGCACCCTGCTTTCCTATGCCATCCAGCAAACTCCTCCTCATGGTTTGGCCCAGCCAAGAACACACTCCTACTCACTGGCTAGCCTCCTTCTCTGCTCCTCACCTCCAGCAGGGTACATCCCCTCCTCCACCCCTACCTCTCAGGTACCCGGGAAACTTATAATGCCACTGTTATTTTACTATAGTTACATGTTCTCATGTTGGTCTTCCCTACTAGCCTCTGAGCTCCTTGGAATAGCTTCAACTGTTGCTGAATGAATGAATGAATGAATGAATGAAATGAAGGATCAGGCAAGATCTCCTATAACCATGGGAACTTCACTCTTGTTTACCATCACGAAAATATATCAGTTAAGACTAGGCCTCCCTTTTTCCATGGGCACAAAGGACACAAGGAGATTTTAAACCCAATATACATCCATAAAGTATGGATAGACATAGCCACCAATAACAACAACAACAACAACAACAATAATGACAGCTGCTAATATTATTTACAACATGCCAGGCCCTGTGCTACATGGTCTGGACATATTTTAGCCTCACAAAGTGCCACAATGAGCCCATTTTATAAACGAAAGAAGAGAGACTCACAAAGGTTATGTGACTTGCCTAAGGTCCCCGCTGGTGAGCAGCAGAGCCAGGATTTGAACCTAAGCTCTTAATGGTTATACGGCACACCTCTCCCATGTTCCTAGGACCTCAGGACTAACAGAGACTGAGAATCTGAGTTAACTGTGAAATCTACTTTCTATTTAGCAGCCCCTGGAACCACGGGCGACTACGGAACGACAAGAATAGCTTGTTCTAGAGTCTACCGGTGGGTCATTCACAACCCTCTCGTTTGTGACTCAGGTTCTCTCAGGAGTCAGGACAGTGGGTTAGTGCGCCTCGAGTCATGCTTTATTTTCCACAGTTGAGAGCAGCTCTCTGTGGGTGTGTGTAGGTATCACCGCCATCAAGTCATCTGAAGGTGTTATCTGTCTCCTCGTCCCGGACCTCCTCCTCTCTACCGGACCTCCTCCTCTCTTCCCATCTCAGGTTTTGGCCTCGTCACCCACCCAGTTAACCAAGCTAGAACCCCCCGAGTCATTTCTGAGTCCTCGCCATTCCCTCATGCCCCCACATCCAATCTGTCCCCAGGTCCTGTCCATTCTACTTTCCAAGGGGCTCTCAACTCCACCCGGTCCCCTCTGGACACACACTACTGTGCCGGTTCAGACCCCACGGTCTCCTCCTGGCCCTCTCATTGTAGCAGCCTCCCCCAGGGTTTTATCACCATCTGCCACATTGCTTTCAGTCTGTTTTCCTGAAACAACAGTCTTGACCATGTCTGTTTTCTGCTTTAAACTGTTTTCTGCTTTAAACATGCTGTTGGTTCCCTCATCATACAACACAAATTCCAAGAGCCTCCGTGTGCCCTTCAGGGTCATTCCACCCCAGCCTTGGCCCTGTCTACCAGCATGCCCCCTCGTGCAGCCCACTCTCTGTTACTCTGGGCTACTGGGCAGCTGGTATCGCCCCAATACTCTGTCCCCTTTCATGCTCTGCACAGGTGCTCGGCATTCAACACCTATCTATGTGCGCCCAGTGCATGCAGGTTCCATGCCGGGCACCACGGGGTAATGAAGAGAATGCATATTTAGTGCTGTGCACTATGTGGGTGCTTCATAAACCTCAGCTCGCTGCGCCTCCCATCAATCACCCTGATGAGCCAGACACAGTGAACCCCATTTTACAGGTGAGGAAACTGAGGCTCGCTGAGACTCCGTGACTGGCCCAATGGGGCATAGTCGCCTACCCCCAAGCTGCAGGGAAGCAAAGGCAGCTGTTACACACATGATTCAGATGCTGGGGTCCTAGCCACACAGAGCTGTAGCTCCAAATTCCTGGCTGGCAAGAGTAACTCTGAATGAATGGCTGACTTTTCATTTCTCCTCAGATGCACGTTGCCAATACAAGCCAGGCAGATGGCAGACTTCAGACGCCTCAGCCCCATCTTTAAATCTGGGAACATCTCGCCTCCTCTGAAGCAAGTTTTAAGTACCCTCAGCAATCACACTGTTGGGAGTAAAAGAAAACCTCCCCGCCAGGTGGTTCCTGGGTCTGCAGAGGCATCCTCTGTGTACACGGGCCTCATCAATAATGAAGCAGCTCCACAGCCGCTTACGAGGCCAGAAAATTGCTGCTATTCATCAGATTCAAATAATCGAATCTGTGCCACAATGCATCAAATCCCTTCGAGCACAGAAAGAGCACAGAACTTTATAATTTCCACCACACAGTGCAGTGTGGATTCAGTCTGATAAATCAGGACAAAATGTCATTTAACACAGACTGGAACTGTTCTTTCC